GGCTTGGCTGTGTGTTCCTCAGTAAGTACTGGTTAACTACCCATTAGCTTCTGATTTGTTCCTGATTCGTTCCTGAGGTGTTCCCTAGTAGTTCATCAAATTTTGTGTACCTTTTATTGTAAAGTGTTACCAAACATGTAAACAGAATGTTTTTAATGAAACACTCTTTGGGTATTTGTATGGAAGCAAATAAAGGTAATAAATAATTTAATAATAAATAAATAACAATAAATATTTAATGTCGTTTTTAGTTTTTAGCTGTGGGCAAACAAAAGTGGAGGCAGGTGTGGAAAATTTTAAGACTGATTTCCATAATTATTACATTTGGACTAAAATAAATTGTAATGAATTACTTGCTTCCATAAATGTATCACCGAAGTCCCGTGTTTCAGCTTTTTAACGCTAACTCGTTAGCATTCAGCACGCTGGCTGTTTGTGTTCAAACGTCGGTTTACCTTCTTCAGGCTGTCGGCAAATTTACTGTGAAAACATTTAGTCTGGAAACAGTTTCCTGGGTAACTTGTTCCTGGTGTTGTAACTTATTACTGTTCTGTGCAGAAATCTTTATTTTCCGAGACTTTTGGTCCAAACTGCAGGTCTGGAAAGATCAAACGTGCCCCCAGATGTTTGCCTTTAACAGCTGGGATGTTCACAGCATCAGCTCTGATTTTTAATGCAGCGTTTGAGTAAATATTAAAAATGAAAGCTGCGTGCAGCAACTTAAATGCCCCAACTTTCATGATGACCTTCTGATGATTCTCCTTCATGATGATTCCAGTTTGAAGATGAAGTTCTGGAGCTGGAGCTCCTGAAGAATCTTTGAGTTATTTTATCGTGTAACGTGCGGCTTCTAGCAGAGGAGCTGGAGCTGCTCGTTGTTTGCCCTGATTCTGAAGAGACCTTGATTTATAGATGTTGCGTTGACGGGTCGAAGACCGGATCAGGAGGATGTTCTTGTCCTGGTGGCAGTACTTAAGTAATGAATTAAATGTTGTGTTTGAGAGGAGAAAACTACTTTATTTACTGTTTTGGGAACAGAAATAAGACATTTAAGTCCAGCTGGGATGTTTCTTGTACGTTTCTTCCTGTGTTGACTTTAACATGCATGTAAAAATGTTTTACTAACAGTACAAACAGGAAGTTACAAAATTTACCAATATGGTGCTCAGAGTTATATGGAGAACTGAAACTGCCAAAATACCAAAAAAATATAATTTGCCTATTGAATACAGAAAAAAAGGCTTTTAATATTAAACACAGTTTTATCCCTATTCTTAGATATATTTTTACTTTTACTTTCATAAACATTTTTAATGTATATCGCCAAAATGTTTTGCGCACGTTTAAAGCGTTTAACACGTTTTCTAACTTTTATTTTCTTGACACTAAATAATTTAGTGTTTCTTTGACCGTTTAATTTGTAATTCTATTTTTTCCTCAGTTTTAACTAAATAGCTTCAGGAAGTATCACAGTAGCACTTCCTGTTGTGTTAGCGCAACACAAGTTGTTTATTTATCAAGTAATAGCAGATTGTGTTCTTTCATGCTTTTATTTTGTTAAGCACAAACAAACAGCTACACTGCTCTCAAGCTTCTGCTTGCATTGTTGATGCTAACTACTAGCTTAACAAACCACAAATAATTCAGAGAAAAGTGGAATTTAAATTTTAAAAAATTTTAATAGAATATTTTTTGTGTTTTTAAGGCTCCTTTTTGAAAATATTTTAGCTCCACTAAACAAGTTTTAAACTGCAAAGATTCTTTTTCTGAAAACACTTCCTGTTGTGCTAACCTGGCACAAAAAAAAAAAAAAGACGGATTGTTTTATGCTCTTCCTGGTTTTAGTAAAGTTGTGGTAAATTCAGAACAAGCTAAGCTACATGATCTGCTTTAAGGTCGTCATTCTGACTGCATTCAAGCTAGCAGTTAGCAATGTTACATTAAAACAAACGCACAGACAAAAGCTATATTTCAAATTTTAATGGAATTTATGAGCATAGCCTTTTCTATATTTTTAAATATATTATTGCATTGGCAGATCCATTCATCCATCTGTCCATTTTCTTTACCTACTTCCTCTTTTCGGGTCACGGGGAGCCGGTACCTGTCCCCAGGAGTCATTTGGTGCTTTGCCACTGTTTCAACTGTCATCGGTTCTGCCCCACACGGCACCATTAAGGGCCTCTCCACTGTCTGTACCACCCCACTCAGTCCGGTTTATGGGACCACCTAGTTTGAGGTTCCAAGCGGACTGCTCTGAGGGGCCGGTTTTGATGTAAGCAGACAGGAGCTGTTGATTGGCCAGTTGGGTTACATCACTGTATGACCCGCCCAGCAAATCTGCAAACTACATCAGAACCTCCACGTCATCATTTTGATGGACGGTGCCGCAAGAAATGAGCACATTTACCAAGAGATATCAGAGATGATGGCGCAGCATGGCTTCACCCGGACGTGTAAGCAGTGCTGGGATGAGCTAAAGAAACTGAAGTCTGATTAGGAAGATTAAGGACCAGAACGAGTGGAGCGGCTCGAACACAATGACGAGTTATGATCCCGCCCACTTTGCCTTGATGATCTCACCTACAGAGCAGAGAAACAAGTCAGAGTGGCAAATCACCTCCACCTGAGAAGGAGAGCCGAGTGGAGCCACACATCAATGGCAAAGAGGCTGCGTGAGAGGCGGGGGACACCTGGACAGGTCTCAGTTCATCACTGGGACAACTTGACCGGTTTCAGTTCATCATGGGGACACTTGGACAGGTCTCTAGTCCATCATGGGGACACTTGGACAGGTCTCTAGTCCATCACAGGGACACCTGGACACTGGGACACCTGGACAGGTCTCCGGTCCATCATGGGGACAACTTGACAGGTCTCAGTCTATAATGGGGATACTTGGACAGGTCTCTGGTCCATCACAGGGACACCTTGACAGGTCTCAGTCCATCATGAGGACACCTGGACAAG